TTATCAGGCATTACTTCTATTTTTTTTTTTTTTTGAAATTTTTTTTTTATTTAAGGAGAAAAGAAAAAAAAAGCAAAAGGGTACAAGTTATACAGATTTACAGAAGAAAAAAAATGAACAGTAGGAAATCACTAGTTAATGGATTACATATTGCCATCTTAAAAATAATTGTTCAAGTCACAAAATTAAAGCTTGTAGAGTGGACATTCCAACAATGATACTGCAAACAGTTCTGTTCAATGATCCAATAAAACTCTGTGATATCATTTTCTATCTTATACACTTAAATATACATGCCAGGCATTACTTCTAGATCTGACTACCATCAGTTTCAAGGGAACAGTGGCTTCAAACCCTGCTACTCTGCCTGATGATGCCCCTCCTTGCCTCTCTATGATGGTATTGGGGACCAGACTTGACAGATGAGCCACCATTCAGAGTTCCTTTTATTTCTCTGATGGAAGCAGTTACATCTACCAAGGTAAGCGGGTCGAGGGAGCTGCCGTTACCACAGACTCTCAGATTCTATGGGAACAAACCCTGGAGCCAGGAACATTGGCCCAACAGGCTGAACTCATTGTCCTCACTGAGGCCTCAAGTTGTCAAAGTATGCATTTGGTACTTCCCATGTTCATGGGGCCATTTATCAAGAATGGTGTTTATTGACTTCTGGGGCCAAAAGATTAAAAATTCCCCAAATTTTGGACTTGTTGGCTGCCATCTGGATGCCAAGGAGAGTGGCTATTATCTGCTGTAGAGCCCACTGGGCAAGAGATGGCCTTGTTATACAAAAAAAAAAAAAAAAAAAAAAAATTGGCAGACACCCAAAAGGCAGCCACAAAATCATTGGGGACTGAGATAGCCCTGACATCACTGCTCACCCCACCTACTTTGTCAGAGCCTATTTGCACTTGAAAAGACTTGCATCTGGGAGCTAATATCAAAGCTTTCCCAGTCTGTGAGCCTCAAATGCCTTAAGTGCCAATTAGTGAACCCAAAACAACTGCAACAAATAGAAACCACTCGCTACATGGGACTATGCCTAGAGAACATTGAGAAATAGACGTTACAAAAATGGAGAAGCCTGGACTTAAACTGGGTGAGTCTCCTTCCTTTTGCTCTTTTGTGTGCACAATGTACCCTCTATGTCACTGGTATTTCTCCTTTTGAGGCTTTGTATGGGAGACCTCTTCCTCTTATCCTTTAGATTTCTGAGGAAAAATTAGCTGATTTAGCTAATCAAGATCTTATTAAGTCCCTCCTAGGCCCTTCAGCCAGTTCTGACTTTCATCCACTGGTTATTCTGACAACAACATCCTCCGCCTGTGGTCCACTACAAGGACAAATGCCCTGCTGTGGAGCCTGGGACACCGGTCCTTATCAAGAGGTGTCACCAGGGGGCTGCGGATTTAGCTCAGTGGCATAAGCACCTGCCTTCCCAGCAGGCAGTCGTGAGTTCAACCCCTGGTACCGATAAAAAGGAAAAAGACCAAAAAAAAAAAAAAAGAGGCATCACCGAGAATCTCTTGAGCCGCGATGGAAAGGTCCCTACATTGTAGTCCTCAGCACTTCAACTGATATCAAAGTAGCCAAAAAGCCTGCCTGGATTCATCATTTCCACTTTAAGCAGGCTTCCAAAGGTGATCACCCTACAGATAAATGGACTGTCGTTCCCTCCAAGGACTCTTTAAACTTTAAGATTGCGAAATGTAGCTGATAATCTTGTGTTCTCCCTTATAGAGACCCCAAGGAGGCCTCTGTCTGGTTTAAAAAAAAAATTACTTGTATGATGGAACAGAGTGAATTTAAATGTTGGTTTTCTTTCTCCTTTTGATTAACAGCTTTAATAATGACACCTGCAAGACCTTTGTTAATCCTCCTATTGGGCCTTGTATTATACACAAATTGGTAAACTATGTCAAAGATCAGGTTCAAACCATAAAGCTTATGATTTTAAAGACACAAGGTTATAAACAGATACCTATGTCTGAAAACCCCATGAGCCAACGATTTGGACCACTGACTAAAATCAGTGGGGAATGCTGTACACTAGCAAAAAGAGCTTCGTTATGTTTGTATTATGACAAAGTACCTGTAACGCCGCCTACTGTTCTATATGTGTTTTTTTTCCCCTCTGGGTGACCTAATTGATATGTTAATCAATGCTCCCCTCTATAAAGAACTGTAAATCCCTGGGAACCTAACCTAATTGATATGTTAATCATTGTTGCCCTCTACAAATAACAGATGTGGTGCTAAAATAAGCTGACAAAAGATTGTTAATTACTGCTAGACTTCTGTCCTCTGCTAAGGGAAACAAAGGTCTTCCTCATTAGCATATTTCCTGATCCACGCCCATAAACCCTTACTTTGTAAACTGTATTATGTACATAAAGGCTGCAAGCTTTGAGGGGGAGACACAGCTTTTGCAAATTCCAACTGCACTGTGTCGCTGGGCCCAGGATAAAATAAATCAGCACTGCTTTTTAAAAATATGTTTTTGCCCCATTTTTTGAACTTGAGTTTAGGGGCTCATTTGTGGATTACAAGACACATGAGAGCCACAAAGCAGGCAGAGCCAGCTATGATGGTGCATGCTTGTAACCCCAGCACTCTGGGAAGCTGAGGCAGGACTGCAAATTTCAACCCAGGCTGGGCAACTTAGCAATTTAGCAAGACCCTGTCTCAAAATAAAACAAATAATAAAACAGGGCTGAGGATACATCTCAGTGGGAAGCCTGGGTTCAATCTCTAATAGTGTACAAAAAAGAAAGTAAACTCATTTTTTGCATAGGACCCCTGCAAAACCCAAACAAAACAGCCTTCAGCACCCATCACAGGCACCGGGAGAAGTCAGCACATCTGGACAGACAGACAGAATCCACCAAAGGGAGGACACTGACAAGCGTGACACAGTGGGGAGAGAATACAGACCCATTCCACTCATGCCCAGAATGGCAGGCCTGAGCCATCCTGTTCCTGATACATCTACGGGGAAACAAATGGTCTAGAAAAGCCTGGAGTCTGCTCCGTGTTTCAGGAGAGGAGCTATGCTCTGGGTGTGGAGGACAGAGTTGTGACAGGGTGGGGCTGATTGCTTTCAGGGTTATGGGGCTATTTTCTTTATAGGTTTATATATATAGTATAAAGATATATATATATATATATATATATCTTTATCCAGATTCACTAATCTGTGCATGTACAGTTTTTTAAAAAAGAGGTCTCACTACGTAATTCAGGCTGGCCTTAAATTTATAGCAATCCTCCAGCCTCAGCATCCTGAATGCTGGGATTACAGGCTTGTGCTACCATGCCCAGATTTGCATATGTACTTTAAAGAATATATGTTCCAGGGGCTGGGGATTTAGCTCAGCAGCATAAGTGCCTGCCTTGCAAGCAGGCAGTCGTGAGTTCGATCCCAGTACCAATAAAAAGGAAAAAGACAAAAAAAAAAAAAAATGAATATATGTTCCATTTTACCATAAGAAAAAATATCTAGAATAAGATTTCTAAAATGTTTTAAATTATCTTTCTCACTTAATAGCTGTTCTTTTTCACTTCCTCTATTTTCCAATTTTTCTTTTTTCTTTTTGGTCTTTTTGAGACGGGATCTCGCTATGCAGTTCAGGCTGGCCTTCAGCTCACTTTGTAGCCCAGGCTAGTCTCAAACTTGCAACAATTCCCTTGCCTCAGCCTCTTGGGTGCTGGGATTATGGTATGCACCACCACAACCGGCTCCAGTTTTTCATAAAACACTGTTTTTTTCCCTAAAATGGAAAAAAAAATAAGAGCTTTCTTATGAAAACAGCCCTGTTATCCTCCTGGCCCTTGAGGGCCTGACTTGCACTGCAGGCCACCTCCCCTGAGTACCTCAACCTCATCCCCTCCCTCCTCTCCAGCCGCCAGCTGTGGCTGCTCTGCAGCAGGCCAGGCTCTCCACAGGCTTGCGAGGGGTGGACGCCTTGCAGAGAAGTGGCTGTGCCACGGCTCCACCAGAACTTCCTGGTGCGGCAGCCCTGGCTGTCCAGGCTCCTGACAGCTGGGTCTCCCTCCTGGCTGGACCTTTCATCTGCCAGCTGCACCCCACAGCCCCTGTGGGAGGTCCCGATGTGAGCTGGATGCAAACAGCCCTGACCAGGCTGGGTGGGTGGCAACAGCATCAGACAAGTATCAGCGGCAACTGTGGCCTTCACTGGAGTGGCTGTGGACACGCACCCTCACCCTCACCCTGGGAACAAGATGTTTCCACTCCAGGCCTCAGGAGGCTGTGCAGACTAAACGAAGCTTCTGCCAGCACAAAGGGCTGAGCTCCTGGGAACTGGCATTTGTGGAAGTGAGGCCCCTACCCACCAAGGAGAGGATGCCCAGAGTACCCCACTACCCCAGGAGCACTGAGCTCACAGAAGGGGATCTCGATCTGACAGCCACCTGAGTGACACCCCTTTCTCAAGCCTGGGATGACGCTCCTGGGCTGTGGGCCCCCACACCAACACCTGGTGCCCACATGACTGGTTGCCCTAAACCCTGCCTTACTTGACAAGTTCAAGTTTGTCTGCCTTAAATTACAGGTACAGGCGCTGTAGTGGTGCACACCTGTAATCCCAGGACGCAGGAGGCTAAAGAAGGAGGATTGCCATGAGTTTGAGGCCAGCCTGAGCTACACAGCGAGTTCAAGGTCAGCCTGAACCACATTGGGAGATCCTACCTCGAAACATAAACACACATTACAGGCACAGCTAAAGCCACCCAACTGAGACCTCCCCAGTGCCGTGTGAGGTGTGAGAAGCAGGTGCTGCGTAACATGCAGCACTGGAGGTGCAGCCTCAGTGCACCCAGCCTCAGAGGAGGGAGGAAGCCCAGGTCCCGGCAGGGGGCAGAGCCAGGCCTTGGGGTCCGCCCCTCCTCTGCTCCCCCACCACCACACAGTCCACCAGAGAAGCCCCTGTAAAAACTGGGAGCTCCAAGGACAGCATGCATGATAGGAACGGGGGGCTTACTTGGGCTTCTTGACATCCGACATCTTGGTGTGCTCCCCAAACTCCCGCTTCAGGAACTCCTCCAGGGGCCCCGACTCGTAAGGCCGAGAGCCCCGGAACACCTCGTCCTTCATGCGGAAGTACACGCCGCGCATGTAGGCCATGGACTTGCCTAGGAAGAAGGGGGGCATTGCTGCAGAGACCAGGGTCACTCCGGGGCCCCTTCAGGGAGAGACCACTCTGTGCATGGGCCAGATGTTGGAGGCCGCAGAGGACAGGGCCATCAAGGGTGGACCCTACCTAAGCCTCCCGCTTGGGCAAGGCCGCTCCCACAGCCCCAGGGCTCTGTGCCTACTCCTGTACTCGTAATTTTGCCTTGTTTTCCTTTTTTAAAAAAAAGGGTTCTGAGAGTGGCAAAGTGTGTGAAACCCAGACCACCCATGAGTCCGCAAAAGGAACAGCCCAGCGCATGTGTGCTTCCTGGCTGCTGAGCTCCCCATGCCAGGGTGTGTAACTGGAGGGCACAAGGTGACTTCCCGACCCCTGCTTCACGCCTGGGAGGTGAAGACTTAGAGGGAGCAGAAGTCCCCAAGGAGGATGCAATGTTTCCAGGGAGGACACGGCAGGGAAAGCCCCGCGTGGACTCTGCACACCAGCCTGACCATGGTGACACCCTCTGGTCCTCAGCTGCTCACCTCACGGCTCTGGGGAGGATCTTCAAACTGAAGCACCTGTCAACATGCTGCTGCTGGTGACCAAGTCCCCTGTGACCTGTGCCTCATGACCCTGCCCACTCCCACAGGGTGCTGCTCTCAGCACCCACATCTCAGCCCCACAGCACCCTGGACTGCCTGGCAAACACCCAGCTGCCTGTGCCCCCAACTGCTCTACCTCTCTAGTGCCAGCACAGGCCTCACCCCCAGGCCCACTGCAATGGCCTCTGGGAGGGGGGACCCTTCCCTGGTACCCCCAATGCTTTGGATCACCAGGAGCCAGGTTGGAAAGTGCTTTGGAGAAAATGCAACCTGACCAGCTCTGGGCAAGAGGTCACCAGGCAGGGACCTGGAGCCTGAGGCCAATCTGGAGACACCCTGAGCACTGAGAAGCTGGCTCCCCAATAGGCCAAGTGTCCTGTCACCTCTGCAGGGCTGGACGGCAGGAAGTGGGCTCAGGGGCCTATGACCTGTCGGACTGGAATCTGAGGGTCAGATCTGGCCCGAGCAAGCTGGGCCACCCTTCCCACCTAGGGCCTTAATTTCTCCTGGCTAACATGCACGCAGACCAAGGCTGTGGCATTCTGGAACACGGTGGCCTCTCCATCTCCAACCCTCCTGCCCCTGCCAACATCCAAGCACTTGTCCCATGTGCAGTGGGTGGCGAGGCCCACCGTGCTGCCTGGCAGAAGCGTGGAGAGGCGGGGTCCAAGCCACTGATGTTTCCTATGCTACCTCTGCCCCTGAGTGTGCAGAGGTACCACCCCATCTTGCTCCTTCCAGCAGAGACCCCAACACCCACAGCCCCCATGAAGGACACACAGGCCCTGTCCTAACCCATCACCCACTCTCTCCTCCTTCCCTCTTTCCCTTTTTTTTTTTTTTTTAAACTTTCTATCGAACTCAGGACCGCCCACTTGCAAGGCAGGTGCTTATGCCGCTGAGCTAAACCCCCAGCTGAGCTAAACCCCCAGCCCTTCCCTTTCTTTTTTGAGACAGGGTCTTTCTATATCATCACAGCTGGTTTTGAACTTGGGCCAGTCCTCCTGCTTCAGCCTCCTGATTGTTGGGATTTCAAGTGTGCACCATCACGGCCAGCTCTACTGCACCCTTTCTACCAAGTTCTACAAAGATGCTCAGCCCCTACCACCCTGCCCTGCCCGCCCCCAGGGGCTGCACTCACTGTGCAGAATGGCCAGGGCCAGGATGCTCCCCGTGCTGGTGCCCGCCACCCAGTCAAAGAGATCCTTGGTGGCCACGCCCGAGGCCTTCTCGATGGCAATGAGAAGCTGGATGATGACCAGGCCTTTCACGCCCCCTCCGTCCAGACAGAGCAGGTGGTCGTGGCTGCAGTGAGCACAGTGGCAGGAATGAGCAAGGTCCCTTGGCTGCCAGCATTCATGCCCCACACTCTCTCAGTCCCTGTCCCAGGCTTCTGCACCCTGGCTGGCATGCAACAGCTGTTGGAGCCCGCTCCGGAGCCCCCCTCCATGCTGTGGGGGTGAGGGAATAAAGCACAGTGATTCAGGGTGTGCGAAGGGAAGGACGGCAGGGCGTCTCGGTGAGCAGGCGCTGTGGACACCCCCGGTGTCTCTGAGGGCAGCAGTACCATCTGGGTCAGTTCCAGGCTTGCCCAGCACAGGTACCTAACGGATGCCTGGGCGGGCAGACAGGCCGGGGGAAGGGAAGGGCAAGGGCTGGTTCCCTACAGCCAGGCCACAACTGGTGGCAAGGGGCCTCCACTCAGGATGGGAGAGGCAGGGAGGAAGCAAGGTCTCTGTGGCCAGGAGCAGGACAGCGCCAGCAGCACTAGCTCTAGGACACTCCCTGCTAAGCATATACGCCCATATCTAGTGAAGGAAGGAAGCCGAGGAGTCAGGACTGGTGCGAAATTACAGAGCAGGTTATGCAGGGCTGGTGCTCTAGGCCAGCTCTAGGCTCTCGCCCCCCCAGGTGGCCAAGCATGCCAGATGCTGCCCGCCTGGAGGCCCCAATAGGGCACCTTCACTGTGCATGCTCAGCCTGCCTTCCAGCCCCTTCTCGTCTCTCCATCCCAGCTGGGCTCACTGCTTCATGAAGCTGGCACCTAGGCCAGCAGGTCCTGCTCCATCCCCACCTTGGGAGGCTGCCACCCCTGCCATGTAAGCAGTCATTCCCAGGCCCCGTCAGGTCTGGCAGTGTCTGGAGGACAGGGCCGGCACTGCTCTGTGCAGTGTCCAGTGGGTACAGACAGCTGATTCACAAAAGAGGCCTGTGCTTTCCACCTCTGCGCCTCCTCCTGGGTACCCAGCTGTCCAGTAGCCCAAGAGGTGGTAGGAAGGCCTGGACAGCCCTGGCATGGAAGCCCAGGTCAGCTGGGTACCCAGCTGGTGGGGCCAGCTGGAGGAGCCAGGACTCACTACATCCTCCCGCAGGCACGGCTGCTTTACCTGGACCCTGTGGTGTGTATTTAAGGGCACACACACTTTCATGCAGGGATACACAGAGCTGCCAAGATAAGGTGCCTCCTGAGCACACACATTGGTGACTAGGGAAATAAGTGGGTTACCAAGGGCTCTGACACCTCAGGCGGGAGGGGGGTGGTGTGAGAAATACGGGTCTGGGGATTGAGCTCAGTGGCATAGGCGCCTGCCTTGCAAGCAGGCAGTCGTGAGTTCGATCCCCGGTACCGATAAAAAGGAAAAAAATAAAGAAGTATGGGTCTGGCTGCCCAGGCCTGGGAGCAGGGGCTGTCTCTGATATGGGAAGATCGTGCTCCTTGCAAGAGTGTGGCAGAGAGGACCTGGGCTGGAAAGACCTTGCTCTGGAGCTTGAAGAGTCAGTCTGCTCTCAAGGCCTCAGGCTTTGCATCTGCAAAGCAAGGTTACTACTCCTCCCTGGGGTGGGTGGCCACTCTGTCCTGAAACTTGCTGCCTTCAATCAGGGGCAGGTTTGGGCCTGCCTAGGGGACAGCTTGGAATCTGCAGAGGACGGTGGGTGGGGAGGCCAGGTGGAGCAGCATCTCTCTCCAAGGGATCCCAGGAACCACACCCTCCTGTATCCCACGCCGAGATTGAGGAAAGAGTGGGGCCTAGACCACCCAGCACTGGTCCTATGCGCTGCTACTGGCTGTCACAAATGAAGGAGCCATCATACCCCCCAGCGGCTTGTTCTCTGCCATCAACTGTGTGCACCGCATATAGCTGCCTTGCAGCGCATGGTAGGTGGCAGCAGAGCCTCTGAGCCCACTCACTGGCAAGGCTCAGCACCGTAGCCCAGCCCTTGTACCACTTACGTCCGCTTCTCGTCCCTCATGGAGCTCAGGAGGAATGGCGGCTTCCGGGCACGGGAGACATGCACAAGGTCCTCCAGCTCTGCGAGGCACAGGGAGGGGCACTAGGCCAGGGAGTCCCTGACCAGTGTCCCCGGGACCCCCAGAACAAATCTGGAGCTGAGTCACCACCCCACTGCCCCCTCATCTGCTCCAGGAGGGGCTCTGTGCTCCAGGGTAAAGCTGAGCCGGAGGCCACATGCTCTGGGAAAAGGAAGTGGGCTGGGGGTGGGGCCACCCTAGGAAGTGCTCCCAGGCTACCTCCCCAACTCCCAGATCCTCAATGTCTTCGTCCTGAAACCCCAGAACTGCCCTGCAGGGTGAGAATCATTACTCCTGACGGTGAGGCAGGCTCCACAGAGGCTCCGAGAGGCTCGTGCCTGTCCAAGGGTACTTAGCCAAAGGACTGGGTGAGGACACTGCTCACTGCTCAGAGCTGAGCTCCATGAACAAAGGGAGACTGTGTCCACGTCCTGGTCCCCAGGCTGAAAACCTCTTTGATGGCCTCTGAGCTCAGGCCCAGCCCCCTACCCCATGCAGCCTTTCTCTGTGCCCAAGGCCCATCACGCCCACCTTCCTGACAAGCAGTATAGCCCCAGGTGCCCAGCCCAGCAGCTCCTATGATTCTGCCCCAACAGCCCACACACCACTGTGAGGAGGCCGAGGCAGCGAGGCGGACAGGCTGCAGGGCAGACTCCCTTGCCAGGCACATGGTCACAGGGTGGGCAGAGAGCGGGAGACCAGCTGGGAGGGGCAGCAGGCAATGCCAGGGAGGGGGAAGGTGCATATGTCTGCGAGTGCAGCCAAAAAGCAGAGGACAGGGCTAATGTGCCGCAGGGCTGAGCTCAGCAGACTCTCTAGGCCTAAGCATTACCCATCAGCCAATGTGCCCCAGGCCCACTGTCCAGCCTGGCTGGGGTGACTGCCTGCCTGTGAAAAGGAAACACAAAGATGGGGGTGGGCAGGGGGAGATGGCTTCTGCTGTGCCTCATGGGAGTGACCCTGGCTTGAGGGGCTGGGGTCTGCCTCCTCCGATTCACCCTCTCTTTTGGGACCCCACTCCCAAACAGCCTCAGTCCCTCGGTGGGTCAGGCCACAGATAGCCCAGAGCAGTGTCCTTGTGTCCAAGGGCACCAGGATGTAAATGCTGATTGCTGGGCTACATGCAAAGAGTTACAGGTCCCTAAATGGGCCAGCAGGGGGCGTGCCAGGCCTCAAGCCGACCGATTCAGCGTGGGCGCTGAAGTCAGAGCTGGGACCGGGTCCTCACAGCACTCCTCAGTGCCTGCGCTGAGCTCCCAGGGGGCGAAAAATCACAAGAGTGCCCATTTCGTGAGTGTCACAGAAATACCCAACCTGAACCCATGCCCAGGGTACCCTCCCAGACCATGACAGACCATGGACCTTTAGCCAGTGAGCCCCGAGGCTGGGATCTGTGAGGTGCTGGCCACCTGCGCGAGCTAATCTCATCTCTTCCCCACTTCATCACCCCACGGGGACTGCGGGGACTGCTCGGGTCCAAGGCCCGGCACAGCTGGAGGCAGGCAGGGAGGAAGTGGCCTACCTAGGCTGCTTAAGCTGATCGCGGGGGGCTGAGCTCTCCCCAGGCAGCAGGGCTGAGACGATGCCACTGAGCTGTTCTCCGTGGGGCCCCCTTGGATGGATGGGACGTTGTAGGTGGCCCCCACGGCTCTTAGCAGAGTCAAGAACGCCCTCCTGGTGACGACTTTCATGGATTGGGGAGACGACACAGGATGGAGACGCTGTGAGCGCCCCTCCCTGCACACGGGCCCGTCCCGGTGACCTGACCGGGCAGCTGACTCCTAGAGGCCTCCTGGGCTCTGGGTAGGGGCTGGGGCCGAGTGTGGGACACGGCCAGGGGCTGAGGGTAGAGTCATCACCCCACCCGTTTTGTGGGGAATGCTTTCTGTCCTCCTCTAGTCAAGGAAGCAGGGCTCCCACTTCCACGGTTGGCTGTTCTCGACCTGCCGAGTGGACAGCTCCTTTCAGCGTTTGACAGGGATGCATCAGCCGGCGGGCACTCATCCCACTTACTGCACGGGACGGCATGTGCACACGGCCCGGTACTCACAAAGGGCACAGCCCGCAGTAACCCCCAAAACCCTCCGAAGGGGCTCCAGGACTCTACACAAGGATCCGCTCCTTCCAGCTCTGAACCCAGGCTCGCGGCAAGGGACAGCGCATGCGCAGGCACATGCGTGTCACACACAGAGCGCATGCACAGGGCTCGTGCAATGAGGCACATGCAGCAAACTCAAGGCTGTCCTGCCACTGCCCACCCTGTCCCCACCCCTTCTGGGAGCCTGAACCCCCAAGGCGGGTAGGTGCATGGAAGAGGCCCTGGCTGAGGAAGCATTGGGTGAGTTGCATCGGCTGCTCAGGGAAGGTCTCTGGGAAGGTCTGGGAAGGTCTCTGCCTCTCGAGTCCTGTGCTCCTGCCACTCTCCACATGGACAGGCCAGCAACTGATGGCTGGGGCTCCTCTCATCCCCAGGCCTGCACCCACGCCACCTCCACCAGACTCTGGTGTCAGAAGGGGGAGCACATACGTTTGCCGTTCTTGGAGGCTATGAAGGCAGGAGTCTCCCCACAGTCATTCGGGGTGTCCACATCTGCCCCAAACACAATGAGAGCCTTCGCCATCTCCACGCTGTCTCTCTGTTGGACATGGAGGGGAAAAGGTTGCAACAGCTCAGGAAAATGGACAGAAACGGACCCCTGCTCATCAGCTAACTCAGTGGGCTACTCAGCAGCCAGAGGAGGGACACTGGGGCTCCCCTGTTCCCCATCTGCAGTTTGAACTTGGGTTTGTAGGCCCAAGCCTGAAAAATGGGCTTCAAAGTATCCCTGGGTAAGGGTTTAAGAATCCAGGCAGAGCCGGCCATGGTGGTGTACACCTGTAATCCCAGCACTCAGGAGGCTGAGGCAGGAGGATCACCATGAGTTTGAGGCCAGCCTGGGCTACATAGAGAGTTCAAGGCCAGCCTGAACCACATAGCAAGACCCTGACCAAAAAAAGAAGATGGAGGAGGAGGGGCACGGGAAGAGGAGGAGGGAAAAGAGAAGGGGAGGAGGAGGGGAAGAGGGAGAAGAATCCAGTTAAAAAGTAGAGGTACTTGAGTTCAATCCCCAATACAAAAAAAAATAGTAGAGGCACTCATGCAGCTCCTCCTCTAAGAAAGCAATGGGCTCTTAACCCTAATCCAGGGCTCTATGACATAGGCTTCCAGGAGGCACAGGGTGTGTGAGGACTGGGAAGGCTGTCCTGTCCTGCCCTCCCAGTCTGAGAAACTGAGCACCCACACTGCTGATGGCAGCAGTCAAGGGCAGGTCCCTTTCACAGAGCGTGGTGCACGGGGCTTCTGGGCAGTGGCAGGGCTGGTGGGGCTGCATAGGGTAAACCAGAAGACTGGCCACCTGGAAATCTGCGCTCTGGTCCTGTCACTCTCCTGGTTCTGGTGCTGGGTCTAGAATGGGGTTCCCCAATCAAGCCATGCTGCCTTAGGATTTATAGGGGCACAGGTACATATGCGTGTGTTGGTCACTACTTCTGTACTTACTTTGGGGTTTCCTTTCATCTGTGGCATTAATTCACGACTTGGGTAGTCATACAGCATTGACTTTCAGACACTTGAGTATGTTTCCAAAAAAGCCAACTTGAAAAAGTCACCGAATAGCAATGGTAAAGTGGTCCATGAATGCGCTCCATGGGTGCAAATGACCAGACCCTGGGAGCCAGCACCAGAGCAGCAATCCTCAAAGCAAGCTCTGCTGGGCCCCTGAGCCCATGAGCAGCGTCGAGGTCTGTGAGGCTAGAACCATTTTCACACAAGTGCTACCATGAGCTCTGTCTGAACCGCGTCGACATTTGCACTGGTGGTGCCAAAGCACTCATGGGCAAAACTGCTGCTGCCTCGGCTCTGATCCAGACAGCAGCACCCAAGCGCCGGCCCTTTCTTCCTTGCTACATACTCATTTCTAAAAAGTCAGTTTCACTTAAAAATGCCTTTGAAGAGCCAGACATGGAGGCACATGCTTGTAATCCCAGCCACCTGTGAGGCTGAGGCAGGAGGATTTTGAGTTTGAGGCCACCCTGGGCAACTCAGCAAAATCTTATCTCAAAATTAAGAAGACGGGAGATGTACCTTCGTGATACAGCAACTGCCTCGAATGCATGAGGCCCTCCGTTCACAAAAGACATCAAGAAAACAAAAGCCTGGACGAAGCAGTGAGAGTCACACAGGTGTGAGCTGCCAGCACAGGACCTGCGTGTTCACAGACACCTTTGTACTGGACAGAATGACCAACAGACGGGCTAGGAGCGCTCGGCCTCAGGTGTTCAGGAGACATTTTTTCCAAAACCAATGCAGTGAGCTTGCTTCTTCAAGAAAAACTGTCAGTATCCTTTGGCCATGGCAAAATTCAAACTTTTAAGCAAAAATTAAACTTCTAGAAAAGCTACATATGCCATGATGTAATTGAGAACTTCCCCCAAATCAGAAGATTTTTCTAAAGAGGTGGGTGCAGAGATTTACAAATGTGGGTTTCTGAAACAAAGCTGGCTGGGTGTGGTGGTGTACACCTGTAATTCCAGCACTTGGGATTGCTGTGAGTTTGACGCCGGTCTGGGTTACAAACGAGTTCAAGACCAGCCTCAACTGCATAGTGAGACCCTGTCTCAAACAGACAAAAAAGAAAAAAAGGAAAAAGAAAAGAAAAAGAAACACAGCTGAGCTGTCCCTAATCTGAAAAATCTGAAATGCTCCAAAATCTGAACTGGGACTCAGAAGGTTTCAGACTTGGGAGCATTTTGAGTTTTCAGATTAGGGATGCCTAAAGGGTAGCGTCTATGCACTCATTCCAAAATCCAAAAACCTGAAATCTGAAACACTTCTGGCCCCAAGTGTCACAGATCAGAGGTTCTCAACCTGTACTCTATAATGAAACACCAACTTGCTACAAAAGCGCGCAGGGCAGAAGAGCCCTGCGAAGTCCAAGAGACGCCAGCAGACAATCACGTGACAGGAGTGTGAAAGGTCATGCAGACACAACAACCAGGGCATCCAAAACTGCCACTGTTGCCAGGTGTGGTGGCACAGGCCAATAGTTCTAGCACTCTGGGAGGCTGGGGCAGGAAAATGGGGAGTTTGAGCCCAGTCTGGGCAACCTCAAGAGTTAAGCAAACTGTCTTCAAAACAAAAACAAACAGAAAGATATTGTTCTTTAAAGGGGCTGGGACTGTAGCACAGTACCAAAGCCCAGTACTAAAAGAAAAGCAAAGTCCCCCCAGCGTCAGCTCTTGGTGTCCCTCTCCTCGCAGCTTCCAACTGCACAGCACCCGCCGCTGAGGAAGTAAGCGGAGGAGGAGAGCCGTGTTTTCCGTGAAGCCGGCATGAAAAAGATTCACAGAAACGGAAAACGAAGCCAACTCCTCTCATTCATCACTTAGTTTTGTTTTTTTAAAATAAAGTTTTTTTTTTCATGGGCTTGGCTTACCATTGTTATATTAAATAAATTAATAAATACTTTGAAATACCTTACTTTAAATTTCTGTAACGGTAAATCTACCTACATGAAGCCCCTATGAACCAAACATCTCATATCTGCAGTATTCAAAGTAGACAGGGACCAGATGGGGCCGAAAGTCAGAGCCTTCCGAGGGCCGGGTCAGTGCTCAGATTGCCCCGGGCCTATTTATAGTTTCAGCCTCTGGGAGCAGCAATGTCTCCACCGCGACCTTTGCTATGGAACAGGACGTCTCTCAGTTTGTCCTGACACTAACTTCTTCCAGAGTCCCAGGGGTCCCCTCCTGGTCTCTGACACGGACTTGCTACGCAGTGTATGTCCATGTGGTGGGCACGCAGTGCCTGCCCCTCCTGGAAATACTCTGCACTGTAGCTGTCTAAGCAGGCGGCAGAAGCTCGAAGGGCAGCACCTACACTTGAGACAGCCGGCAAGCGTCCTGTGGGCCACCATGGCTGTCCTGCTCAAAGAACGGCTCTGCTGCCCAGGGGCTTGCAGTGTCCCAGGGAAACAGAAGTCATCGAGGGAAGCACTCTTCCCTGGGTGGAAGGGAAGGAGCCCTGACAGCAGAGGGGACGTCCCCCCACCCAGGTACTGCGCACACTGCCAGTCATCCTCTTGGGACACAGAAACGGAGGCTGACGGGCGCTGTTTCACGCCCAGGGCCACAGTCTCCAGCCAGAGCTGACTTCCTGCTCACACCACCTGGGGGCCGCACTGGGGACTAGCAGGGCAGATGGGGGTGCTCACCGACATGGCCAGGTGCAGCGGGGTGTTGCCGTTCTCGCCACGTGCACCCGCGTTGGCCCCATGGGTCAGCAGCACCATGACGCAGTCGAAGCGGTTGCGCATCACCGCCACGTGCAGGGCCGTGTTCCCCAAGGTGCTGGTGCTGTCCACGTCACAGCCCCGCTTCAGCAGCATGCGGGCCATCTGAGGGGCACAGGCCAGGCAGTCCAGGTGGGCCCGCAGGGAGCAGCAGGCATGGCCTGCAGAGCCTGGGCACTGCCACTTTCTCCCTGAGCAGCCTTCAGTGCCAGGCTCTGGAAAGCTCCAGCAATGGGAGTATGGGGACAGAACCCAGATCTGGGGGTGCTTGAGATTCTTGCCCAAGACCCATCAGCACCCCAGGAATTGGAAGACAAAAAGCCAAAGATGTGCTGACTGATTTGAGAGGCTTCTGATCCTTTCCTGGAGGAAACAGTGCCCCACGCCTTCTTGCAAAGGCAGCCTGGGCCCCGTCCGGAAATGCCCCATGCCCTGAGACCTCCCCTGGGACCCTGCAGGGGCTGGTACTTCCTCCTTCCTGGCCTCAGGATCTTGGGGGCACTCAGTGCACCAGTGAGCTCAGCTTAGGGATGCGCTCAGAGGCCCAGCCAGGTCCCCATGCATGCGAGGACAGCCAGACCCCCTTACGGCCAGGGCCATCACCATGCCCTCTTTTGTCTGAGAGGCACATTAGCATTTATATAGAATTTTCTCTTTCACTACCTTGCTGACACCACAGCACCTCTGAAGCCAGGCCACAGGAGCCTGTGCATGGACAAAGGGACTGAGGCACAAAGGCAGAGGAGCAATGTCACCCAGGAAGCTCCAAGTGCAATCCACAGAGTCTTCAAGGGTCCCCTGCCCACAGGCACCCAGGACACAGGGCCCTGGGCCTCTCTGCCCCTCTTCCACAGACTTCTCCCACCTCTGCGTTCTTGGCCCAGTGCAGGGGGCTGGCCCCATAGCGAGGGTCTCTGCTGTGAATCTGGCTGCTGTCCGTGCCAACGATCATCTCAGCACACCTGGGGAGAGAGGGGGCAGTAAGGAGAGGCTGGACTCACCTGCTGGGTAGGGGGAGGGTTCACCTGCAAATGAGGTGCAACCAAACCAGCCAGCTGGCCGGGTGGCGATGTGCACATCTGTAACTGCAGTGTCTGAGAGGCTGAGGCAGGAAGACTATAGTTTGAACCCAGCCTTGGCGAGTTACCGATTTCGTGAGACCCTGTCTCAAAATAAAAAAGTAAAAAAAGGTGGGGCTGCAGCTCAGTGGGAGAGCCCTGGGCTCAATGCCCAGGACCACAAAACCAAGGCCAAAATACAGAAATGTGTACATTAAAAAGCTGCTGCACATCACAGGAGACAATAAAAAAGGTGAAGAGGCAATGTAATCTCTGGGGAAAGCCTGCAAACTCCACAGCAACGCATGACATCACTGAACAGTGGGCAGAGGACCTGGGCATGCGGCTGCAGAGTGGGACCAGGACAGGGGCCGAGGCAGTGTCCTTACCCCTTCTGGGAGAACTTCATGGCCATGTGGATGGGGTAGCCGCTTGGCGCCACCACGTTGCAGCGCGCGTTGCACAGCAGCAGCGTGCGCACCATCTCCTCCTTCCCCAGCTGGCAGGCCAGGTGCAGCGGCGTCAGCCCCTGGTGGTTGGCCTGGTTCAGCCCGGAGGACGCGTTCTTCCCTAGGAGCTGACAGTGGATGTGGGTGGGCCGAGCCCCACCGAGAAAGCCCTGCATGCCCCTCCCTGACCCACTGGGCCACCTCTCTCTGGGGACCAAAGGAAAGGGAGGCTTGATGCCATAGTGACATCGGTGAGGACGGAGTGCCAGGGAGAGGGCAGGAAGAACTGAGGACACCAGTGTGGACAGGGACAGGGATGCTGTTCCAGCATGACTGTGGCTCCTATGAAAATTTCTGTCAAGAAATTTAAACCAGGTTTGGTGGCGCACACTGTAATCCCAGCACTCTGGAGGCTGAGGCAGGAGAACCACCATGAGTTTGAGGTCAGCCTGGGCTACACAGTATACGCAAAGCCAGCCTGAACTATACAGAAAGACCTTCAACGAAACAAAAACAACACAGTTGTCCTTGATATCCGCAGACAGGGTCCAGGACACCTCCCACCTCGCAGACACCAAAATCATGGAGGCTCAAGTCCCTCGTATAATCCTATTTGTTTTCTTTGTCCCTTTCATTTTCTTTCTCATCATTTCTTTATGGAGACTCAATGAATTTTCCAGGCTGGCCTCAAACTCAAGATCCTCCTGCCTCAGCCTCCCAAGGAGGTGGACAGCAGATGCAGCCGCCGCCCCCACTCCCGTGTACTGCACGTATGCTAGAGTCCCGACGACAACACAGTCATTCTGGGAATCGCGCCACACTGTGCTGCTCAGGGATCATGACTAGGCACAATACGCCTGTGTGCGCTCAGTACAGGGAGCTTCTTTCCGAAGTATTTTCTGTGCTCTGTTGATTGCTCCGTGGGTGAGGAACCCACCTGTACCAGGACCGTGAAGAGAGCGGGAGTTTTTATTTTCTCACGCTGGGCTGAGTGCTGAGGTTAACTGCAACCACTGGGTGCCTGTGGCCGCAGGGCCTCCACCTGCAGGCAGGCCAGGGACACAACAGGAGGTAAGGGACTGTTGCCTAACCTGAACACCAGGGCCGGGCACCTCCACAGCTTTGCGGATCTTGATGGGCACATTTCTGACCTTGGCTGAACCTCAGTTTCCCTGGTGAGGACAATGTGCCCAGCCCAGGGGCCGTTCTGGGTTTACTATGTCACAGGTCACTCCAACACTCCCACCTAGTGGTGCTGGACCTGGGACAGCCAGTAAGCGGGGAGCACCACCCCGACTCAGGAGAGTCTGGAGCCCAGCCTGCCCTGGCGGGTGGAGAACATCGTTTCCTGGGGCACCAAGCATAACACAAGGATCCTCAGTTCCTAGAATAACCCTGACATCTGGGCAGAGATGAGGACGTAGGCTTCCAAAGGACCTGCTTGTTCAGACAGCAAAAGCTGCCCCGGTATCCTGCATCTCCTCTCAACCTGACACATAGAGCACCCCTAATAAAACCACTCCACTCACCCGCCCGGAACTCTGTCAAGTGAAACAATGACCAGAGGATGACCCCGCACAGATGCCTCCAGGGACCGGGGCAGGAGGAGTCAGGGAGAGCTGTGCGCCCTTCGCAGAAGAGCCCAGGCCTCCTGAGACAAGACGCAGCACAGAGGGAGGCCCAAAGTGACAGCGGAGCACAGGGGCGCAAGGAGAACGCTGCACACAGGGAGTGTGGTCAGGGCCAGTCGCCCTGCCCTCCCGGCTCACCTGCAGCACCTGGGAACTGTCACCCAGCACGGCATAGTGGAAGACAGTCTCTCCTTTGTTGTCGGTGACATCCATCTGGGCGTGGCAGAACTGCACCAGCTCCACCAGGATCTCCCCGTCGCCCTTCCGGCAGGCCAGGTGCAGCGGGGTGCAGCCCTCCTCAGTCTCCTTGCTGTTGGCACAGCTGCGGGGGTAGGGAAGGCTCAGGTGACAGGAGTATTAAGGACCCAAGTGCAGAAGAAAGGCTAGCAACTGGGACGTTCTCAGAAGCACGCAGGCAGCGCTCCAAGTCCGGGCTGGTTCAAAGTCGGGGCTGAGTCTTGATCTACGTGCACCTTCTGTGATTTGCTTTGGGGTTACTCTGCGTTGCCCACCGGCAAGAGGTGAGCGCCCAGGGCCACCGGCACGAGGTAGGTGAGGGGGTGACCCAGGAAAGGGTCACAGAAGGCAAGGATTAACCTCTCCAGGCTTCAAGACCTTGTCTGCCATGCCCGCTGTGGCTGCACTAGGACAGGACAGAACCCCGCCATGTCCAGTGTCTGCTATAAACCGCAAGGTGCGGTGAGGTGTGAGCTCTGGGCCCCACCTTTGAAAGGCAACACCAGATCGGGGTGCTCAGCCCTCTGCAGCTGAGTGACCCCACGTGGGTCCACAGCCTCTCTTCAGGTCCACACTTTACCAGTGCTGGGGGTCCAAATTCATGGTTAGGTGGGAAGCAGCTGCCACACGCCAGGCCCCTGTGAGCACCGGGAAATACTACGGTTCTCCTGACTTGATCTGTTCTATTTTTTTATTTTTTGGAGACAGGGTCTTGCTGCGTAGGTCAGGCTGGCCTGGACTCAGTGTGCAGCCTGGACTGGACTCGAACTCAAAGCAATCCCCCTACTTTGGTCTCCCAAGTGCTCAGATTACAGGCATGTGCCACCATGCCCGGGTCTGGTTCTCCTGACTTTGGTCAGCGGTCTCATGTTCTAACCGAGGGGCCACATGGCTGGCTCCTTTTTTGTTTAAGCCACGGAGCTGGGCAGGCGTGGCAGCGCCCGCCTGTAATCCCAGCATTCTGGGAGGCCTCGGCAGAGGAGTGCAAGATGGAGTCCAGCCTGGGCAGTTCAGCAACTTTGTGAGACCCTGTCTCAAAATTTAAAAAAACAAAAAAGTTTAAAAGGACTGAGGCTGTGGCTCTGTGTGAAGGCCCTGGTTCAATCCCTAGTACTAGAGAGAGAGGGAAAGGGGGAGAGGAAGGGAACTGAGGCGGAGCGGGATGACTCCCCACACCCCACGCTCCAGGCCCCTGCCCGCCCACCTGATGACCCGGCTGTGGTGGAAGCACTCGCGGATGCCCAGCTCCACAGCCAGGTGCGCCAGGGACCAGCTCGGGTGGCTGCGGATGAGGTCGCAGAGGTGCTGCAGGACCTCGACGTGCAGGACTTGCGTGGAGCTCTCGTAGAAGGGCGGCAGCAGGGAGGCAAAGCGCTCAAAGTGCACCTGGGCCTCATTCTCCGGCTCCAGCTGGAAGAGTCTGCAGCCGGGACAGACGTGAGCAAGGGGTGAGCCAGGGCCCAAGGCTTCGTCCCAGAGGAGTCTGAAGCCAGCGGTCCCCAACACCCCTGCAGCCTGTGCTGAGCCCGCCACCCCAGCATGCACAGCTCCCCCCAGGTACACACCAGAGGGGCTCCTGCACTTGGAAAGCTCCCCTTTTCCTTCCTTCTCCCCCTTCATTTTCTCTCCTTTTCTTCCTTCCTCCTTTCTCTTTATTTCCTCCACCATGTAGTGTTTTTGTATTTTCTGTAACCGACGCTATCACATCCTCTCTGTGATTAGGTTATCACACCTGAGAGCCCCAACCGCAGATCTCTGGCCGTGTGCACCGTGAGAATTAAGTAAGCACTGTCTTACCTACATGTCAACGTTACAATGTCATGTCAGGGGTGGTAGCTCTGTGGATGAGACTGCAGGACGGAAAGGAGATTACAAGAACAGGGAAAGAGCTAGTTTGTAATAAATAAAAAAGCAGGAGGTAGCCAGATGTGGCAGCCCATTCCTACAATCCCAGACACTTGGGAAGCTGAGGTAGAAGGATCTTAAATTGAATGCTAGCTTGGCCAAAGTAACAAGAATCTGGTTTAAAAGAAAAGTTTTGAAATTCTGTATCATAGTTTTTATTGTTTAAAAAAAAAAGACAGGGTGTAGCTCAGTGGTAGAGTGCTTGCCAACCATGCCAATGCTCTGGGTTCAATGCCCACAAGTACCAAAAAAGCAAAACAAGAAATCACAAAAGATAATAGTGGAGTAGATGACCCCACGCAAGAAGTGAAAACACAGACGATAATCACATGTTGGAAAAGTATTATCCTAAGTGCAAGCACGAGATTCATATAAGTACCACGTGCTAACCGATCGCGTTACTGGAGCTGAAGCGCGAGATTCATAAACCACACGCCTCAGGGTTAAAGGCAAACCGGCAGTGAGAGAGAGCAGGTGAGTGTCTGCAGGTTCAGTCCAGTCCTGAGGGGAAAGCCAGAAGTCAGTGTCTCAGAAAGGTTTTAAAAACTGGCAAACCTTCAGCAAAACCAAATGAGACACATAGAAAACCCCAAGTACCAGCCCTTTAGGTCCCTCATGTATTCCACGGGTTTATGAACAATTGCACACCAGGGAAACTCAGATAAGATGGACAAACTGCCTGAGAACACTAACACTGGTGAGAAGAAACCCCTGATGGGACCGTCTGCCAGACACTGAAGCCATCCTCTAAAACCTCCCATAAAGGCGCTGGCTTCCCAGGCTCACTCACTGATTCTTAGATTTACAAAATAAATAATATCCAGGTTGATTTTCAGAAAGTTGGAGAACGAAGGACTGCTGCTGTGTGTTTAGAAACAGCTCCTTCGTACACAGGACACAAAAACACACTGTAAGGGACAAGGGGCGCTGACCCGACTACATTAAGACCAAGAATGCTGGCTATCGATAGATGCTGTAAGAGAATAAAAAGGCAAATACTGAGCGTAAGGCGGAACGACAAAGAGGTCACACACACACACACACACACACACACACGCACACGCGCACACACACGCACACACACGCGTGCACACACACACGCGCACACGCACACACGCACACGCGGGCTGCTGAGCGATGGCCGCGTTCCGAGAAACACTCCACTGTGCAAACCGCGGGACACTGATACAAACAGGGACAAAGATGGTGTCACTGGGCCGTAAAAGCTTAAAGGACGGTCACTGTGTACACAGTCCAGCTTGGGCTGCAAGCTGAGCGCGGTCACAGAACAGACTCCTCCTGTGAGGACTGCGACTCACGCAGCAGCAAACAGGGGCACACACTCTCACCCCAGGAGGCCGAGAGGACAGCGGAGGAATTACGACAGCTGATACTGGCCGCGTCTGGAGAGAAAGTGGCGCCAGGAGGGAACTTTCAAGTTTGTTTTTAAGAGAAAGGAGCACATCTGACAGCAATGAAGACCCCTTTGCCGCAGGGCAGAATACCGCAGACCGGGGGCCTGTAACACAGGTAACGGGTGAGGGCGGGTGGCACCACGGGTGACCTGAGGGCCAGGACTGAGGCAAAGGGATCCTGGGTCCCTCCCAGCACCAGGGGAGAAAGGCTGCAGCTAAGAGGGCAGGGTCCTGGGGCAGCGGGGACAGGTCACAGAGGGACTGGAGGGGGCCTGGGGCGGCCGAGCACCCCAACACAGGGGCGACTTCTCTTCTTCCAGAGCACAGCCCCGAGCCAGAGCTGCCCAGAGGCCTCCACCTGGTGGGGCTGGAGCGGGAGGCCTGTGGCTAAGCTAGCGTGCTTGCAAAGCTCTTGAACTTGCAGCAAAGGGTGAAAGGCATGTGGCAAAGGACAGATCCCTTGGGACTCCCATAGGGGTCTTGGATCAAAAATGATGTCACACGCCCATAATCCCAGCACTTGGGAGGCTGAGGCAACAGGTTTGCCATCAGTTCAGGGCCAGCCTAGGCTACATAGTGAGCTCAAGGCCAGCCTAAGCTACACAAGACCTGTTCTCAAAAAGAGAGAGAGAGAGAGAGAGAGAGAGAGAGAGAGAGAGAGAGAGAAGACCCCGAGCCACCAGGCTAGAGGAGTGTCTCCTGCCCACACGGGGCTTCCCGACAGGTGTCCAGCGCACCACCTCTCTGTCCCTCTGCACCTTGCTGGGCCGGGCCCTCTCCTGTAGAACCCTTCCTCTCCACCATCTTCCACAGGACAGCTCCCCCAGCCCTGTCAAGCACCTTCCCTGAGGGGATGTGGATGCATCAGCCAGCCAGGGAGTGTGCAGTGCGGGCACTGGGAACATGGGAGGGACAGAGCCCGGGCCCTTGTGGGGAGGCGATGTGCGCACAGACACATAGTGACAGCAGAGTTTCACAAGGCCCTGGGCAGCACCTGTCTCTGGCTGTGGGTCCGGAACCGCCTTTCACTGGCTGCAGCGACACCTGCTGTCTCTCACTCTGCTCGGATGGTGGAGTGGTCCCTGAGGCCCGTGGCCAGTCACAAGCCATCTGAGCTTTCCTAACAACCGGCTCTATGGCACAGTCCTGGCCACAGAACCCCAAGGGACATGAAGGGCATGCACCCCACATGGGTGGGCCACCTTTTCTGCCACACCTGGCCCCAAGTCTGCCGAGACACCAGTGAGGGGCTGCCGGGGCCATCAAAGCTCACGTGTGGCAGTAAATGTCAGCAGTCAGTGATTACAGAGGCATCCATGGCATCTGCAGGGACACAGCAAGGCAAGCCTGTCCGGAGCTCACACAGGAAGAGCCAGGACTGGCAGCATATGTCAGGCAGGATCAGGGCCCGCCCGGCTTGTCACCTGCAAGGGGGCCCTGGGGTAAGAAAAGCGGGTGTTTCTTAAGCCAGGTGGTAGGACAAAGGGACTGTGCTTCTGACCAGCTGTGTGACCCCGGAGAAGCCTTTTAGCCTGCATCCCCGCATCTGTAAGAGGGGTCAGTCAGTAACACCCCTCCTGCCAGGGCCACAGGAGGGCACAGTGAGCCAATGCATGTGACAGTTCCCGGTACGCCTCGGGCACTAATGAAACAGATACCCTGGACGATGCCAATGTCACCATCTGTGTCTACGGGAGAAGGTAGGGGCTCCAAGCACTCCAGGACAAAGCCCAAGGACTCAGCTGGCCCTCACTCCATCTGACAAGGGGCCAGAGGCATCTAAATGGTAAACCCACCCTGGGAAGAGGAGGCCCAGCAGACCTGGCACCTCTCACAAACCGCAGGGTGTCCAGAGGAGTCGCTTGGTCCCTGCAGTGTTCATGTGGGGTCCCCTGTGTGGCAGTATTAAGAGATGGCACAAGCTTAAAGAGTGGGAGTGATAAGCCAAGGGGTTGTGCCCGTGGAAGGGATCTATGCTGGTCTTGCAGTTACTCTCTCTGGAAGAAGTTGAAGCCCCTGAAATCCTAGCACTTGGTAGGCTGAGGCAGGAGGATCACTGCAAATCTAAGGCCACCCTGGGTTACACAGTGAGTTCAAGTCCAGCTTGGACTATATAGTCTGACTCAACAAATAAAAATATAAAATAAAAAGAGCAGGATATAAGTCTCTCCCTACTCCGTGCTTCCTGTTTCACTCTGTGATTCCCATGCATTCCTATCAGGAGTCCACAAAGGGGCCCTCCCAGGGGCCAATGAATGGGGTTGCCCAATCTTAGATTTTTTTTTTAAAATCAGTACCAGGGATCGAACTCACTTGCAAGGCAGGTGCTTATGCCACTGAGCTGAATCCCCAGCCCCCCAATCTTAGATTTTTAGCCTCTGAAAAGTCTGTCTTTTAACTGTGAGCTGAACAAACCTACTTTCTTTGTAAGTACCCAGCTTCAGGCACTTTGTTACAGCAACAGAAAAAGCCCTGATCACCCCCTGGATGAGAACCCTGGGGTCCCTCTGTGTGCCTGGCCCCTGCTCTCCGGCTATGGCTGCCCACAATCCCCACTTCTGGTCACACCTCTCAGCCCTGGCACTGCTGTTTCTGCAGCTCTCCATGATCTTCCCTCCTGCAGCCCAGCCACTGTGGTCCACCTCTGTCTTCCAGCCTCCCAGCTCACCCTAACGTCCTGAACCCCACAGTCACGCACTGCTCTGGGAGAGGACTGAGCGGGAACCCCGTATTCACTCACTCTACGCGCACACTCAAAAGCAGGGCTGAGCGTCCTGCCCTAGCGAGCCGGGCCTTCCCAGCAGCCTGCAGCTGTACAGCCCGCTCTGGTGCTGAAGCTGGCGTCTGCGGCGGCTGCTGTGCTGCGCCCTTAGCCCGAGCGCCCGCTCTGGGAGCCTGGCTCAGCCTCCCTGGGGCAGGTCCTGAGATCCCACCTGACTGGGCCATGACACCTGGCTTGCTCTTCTGGTGGCCGGCCCCTGCCACCTCCTGAGACTTGTGCTGTCATGTGTCCTTGATCAGAATGATCCCAACTGTGTTCCCCTGTGCACCCCCCCCCCACCGTGACCTCCACAGGGCTAGGCCAACCCGCCCGTGCTGTCCCACCAGGCAACTCCTTGCCATTCTTCCAGAGTGGCCCGTGGTTCTGGCTAGCCCACTGGGAAGTGACCACTTCCTGTGTCCCTGCCCCTCGGCATCTCGGAGGGGGTTAGAAAGGCTGTGAGTAGGTGGCCCTCCTCACAGTCTGCATGTTCCTTAAAGACACAGTCCATGTCTGTCACCTCCAGACCAGCCGGGTCTGGGCCCTGGCCTGGGACTCCTGAGTCTGCTCAATGGATGGAGGACAGGACGGCCAGTGGACAGCCACGAAACAAAAGGAACATCAGTATGCACCCTCCTTCCACACTGGCTACAACCCCACTGGGCCCTGCACTGCCGCCCTGGCTATGCCGTCCCTTTTCCCAGGCAGCCCTGGGGCTGGCAGAGCCCTCGGCCCTGCCCTGACCCCTGCCCTGCCCTGCCAGTTCTGGGGTCAGGGCCCAGGAAGACATTCAAGCCTTCCCAGACCCGGGCGCAGGCCACCGCAGCAGGCCTCGCCTGACTGGTCCTCCTCGGTCTCCCTCCGCCCCACCTCTGTCTACTCGGGAACGACACAGACCCTCCCTGCATCCCTCCTCCCCAAACAGACCCCTGGAAGAGCTGCTTCCCCACCACCCCAGCTCCAGCATGGAGTCAAAGGAGAGGCGCGGCTGTCACCCACCGGAAGCCGCTCTGAGAGTTCCTGGGGTTGACCAGGATGCAGTCCAAGGTGCGGCTGGAAGCGCTGTGGAACAGGACCAGCTGCCCTTCCTCCCGAATCCGGCCACTCGAGGAATAGTCGCTCATGGCCACCTCCTTCACACGGAATGGGTTCGAGAACAAGGTGGTGACACCGCTGACCAGGCGGCCGAAGAACTGCATCCTCCACAGGAGGCCAGGAGGCCGCGAGGCCTCACCGCCTGAGCCTGCAGTCTAGAAGAAAACTCGGTTTCCAGTCAGCTGGCCTGCATCTCTCGCGCCTGTCTTGCCATGTACAGCTGTGTTCCGCATGAGCACCCGGCCACTCGCCCTGGATCCTGACCCTGCAGGCCCTGAAAAGGAGGGAGAGAGAGACACCAGCATTAAAGGTCTCAGGGAAAGCTCCAGAGCCCTCAGCTAGGCTGGGGACCCAGGAGAAGGGTGCCCTTCACTGCCCAGCATCCTAGGCAGGGACTCAGTTTCCCCATCAGTGACAGCTGGTATCGAGAAGGTTGGGGGTGCGCTTACCACCAAAGCCCCAGAGACAACCCTAAGCAACCGAAGAGCTGGGTCATTTCAAGTGCACAAGCAAATCAGTGCCCCCTCTTTACTAGGCACTGAAAAGGGACCAGAGTCCATCACGGTCCCCCATCAGTGGGAGGGACAGCAAGTGTGTGCCGTGCCCCTCTGTCCCCCACTGTGCCTGGTTCCCAAGGAGCCTGAGCCCAGCCATCCCTTGGAAATGCAGGTGAGCATGAGGACTCAGGCACATTGACCTGCGTGTGTGCGCTGGGGCACCCGGCAATTCAGAGTCAGTGTTTCTGCAGAGGAAGAGCATGGTCTGCATGACAAAACTGAGTATCCTGTTACTTGCTGGGTCCCCAGAAAACACTGCCAGCCAGCCATGGTGGCACACGACCTGCAGTCCCAGCACTCCGGAGACTGAGACAGGAGGATCGCTACGCATGCAAGGCCAACTGGGCTACGAAGTAAGTTCAAGCACGAACTACACCCTGTCTCAAAAGGACCAAAATAGAAAAGAAAGAATGCACACTGCCTTCTTAAGGTACTGTCATCAAATCCTGGCAATAATCCCTGCTTCTGTGCCACAATGTCACCTGCTGAAAGAGGAATGCAGCAGTGTGGAGGCCTCAGGGACAGTGGCTCTGCAGACACCAGTTCACAGCCTCGCCCTGCCCCAGCCCACGGAGGAGCCGGGGGGACAGAAGAGAGACAAAAACCAAGAGGCCCTGCACCTCCTAATGGGAGTGGGGAGTCACTCACCCACAGCAGCCCTTAGCCAAAGTGTTCTTAAGGTTTCCGTGGCTACAGTCTGAAAATGTGACAGGGAGACCTCCAGAAATAAATGACGGAAGATATGAACTGTACTCCTGACAGCACCCCTGCGTCCCCCTCCTCCGTCCTCCTGTCTCCTGACTCGCTCTGCGGCCAGTCTGCTGTCACTCAGTGGCCAGGTCGCCCATCACGCTGCTGCACGGCTGCTGTCTGGGTGAGTTAACAACGGCCTCAGAGCATGAGGGCGACAGTGCTGGCGATTCCAACACACCTCAGTCCAGGTACCACCCCAGGGTCCAGGCACCCACCGGGGATGCAGACCCCTGCGGATAAGGGGAGACTGCTAGGATTAGGCCGGGAGACATTTACTGACTACCACTGTGGCTCAGATCTGAAATGTCCCCCAAAAGCCTCAAGCGTGTGGGAGGTGACGGCACCGTGGGTGGCTCTACCCATCGCAGGGTTCCCGGGGTGAGCCAGTTCACGGCCGCGTGTGCCAAGGGTCACTGGAGTGGGACCCGGGAGGGTGGATTCACGTCCCTGGCTCCCCCGGCTGCCACAGGCTGAGCTCTTCTCCCCACCCCACGCCCTGCCGACGCCATTTCTAGCACACAACCTCTCCTCCTCTACGATGCGGGTCTCAGCAATGGGAAAGCAAGGAAGGCAGCCATTGCCACGCAGTAGGTCCAGGGCCGAGGCGCACTTACACAAAACCACGTGAGGCCCAGGCGCTGAGGGTGCAGGACAGGTCTGGAGGCACCCAGGCTCAGGTCCCAGCCTCACCACAGCCCCGAGTGACTGCAGGCGAGGTACTTCAGCTCCGTGTGTTTCCTCATCTGTAACCTAGTCACGGCACCTGGCGGACGGTGACTGCTCAGTAAACAGCCGGCTGGGCCCGGATCACCTCCTTTTACAGGTAAAAGGAAACTGAGACTTGCAGGTCTGAAAAAATTCTAAGAAGCTCTGTGACGTCAATCCTCGTGATTGCTGGTAAGACACGGTACAAGGACACCGTAAGCCTGGGTGTTCTGCTTAAAGGAGGAGAAATAAGCAGAGCAAGGATTGAATGCAAATGTGTCTGTTTCCTGCTTTCTTCCGCACCTGGGGCTCGGAGAACAGAACATCGAGGGGCCAAAGAAGGGACCCCAAGGGTGGGACCTGGCCCCGAAACACAGCACGAGCTGCACCCTGCTAACCAGGGGAAGTCCGAGGCTCTACACACCTTTACCCAGAGACACTGCTGCTCCTGAGAAGCTGCGACAGTGGCAAAGGTGACCACCCAGGAAAAGCTCAAGGGGCCACATCACACTTCTGCAAGCAACGATGACAGCCCAGGCTGTCCCTGCGGTCTCATCTGTCCTCAGAGCCCAGCGCCGACTTCACAGCTGTCAGGAAAACCACACCAACGAACATCGAACATCGCGCCTGCCCACGGCCACACAGCCACCTGATGTGGGGACCTTACCCTTCCTCAGCCTGTTTGTCTGGAGACCCCTGTCTGCTCTCAAGTCCAATGAGGCCCTGGCGCCCAGCTCCAGCACCAAGAAACAAACCAAACAAACAGAACAGAAACTGCCTCCCCTCTGCCCTGCTTCGTAACAATCATCACACCAAACATTGCTGGCCCCTCCTGTGCCCTGGCACTGTCCTCAGAGCTCGGCAGGTGTTCACCATGATATCCCCACATCAAAGCCACCCTACAAGGTACCCACCACCACGTCCCTCACTTCATACCCAGGAAACCAAACAACAGAGAGGGAAAGCGACATGGCCATGGCCACTGGGGAGGGGGAGGAGCCAGGATGTGCCAGCCCAGGAGTCTGAGCTCCCTTCCGCTGCCGCTGCCGAGGCTTCTCACCTCTGTGCCCCACCCCCACCCCAGGCACAAGGCAGAGTAAATATAACACATGCAAAAAAAAAAATAATAATACTGGTAAGAAAACATACCACTAGACTAAATACTGAGTATTAGGTTCATGGGCTATGTTTTTGCCTTTCTGCATTTTCCAAATTGTATGCAATGGGAGTAGAGTCGAAGGCTGAGCCCCAGGTACCCATCGGGAGCTGGTAAATGGCTTCAGAGATCAGCCAGGCACCTGCAGCAGCTCCAAGGAAGGACATTCCAGGCATCGGGCACCCAGAAGCCCCCTTAGGTTGAAGGAGGAAACTTACCGCGGAGTCCAGCTGCCTCATAGAAAGATGCCTGCTCCCAGGGAAGCCCCTCCTTGCGTCCCTGCCCATGGCCCAGCACCAGCCCACTGGGACACGGCAGAGCGGGCACAGAAGGACAGCGCTGGCACAGAGTGAGGGTTGGAGAGGGGATAAAATGATGCAAGGCAGGGACGGGCCCAGGATGCTGTCCCACTGTGGCACATGAACACCGCTGTCCCCAGGGGAAGAAAGGAAATGGAAATCATGGGCCACATCCTGGAACAGGCTCAGCAGGGCAGCAAGAGAGGAGGAAGGGCGAGCGCGTGCCACCTCCTGCCCCCGACCTCAGAGCTCAGAGCCAGGTTACCTGCTGCCAGCAGCAGGGTGGGACCATACCAGGAAGCAAGCTGCCACTCAGTGCTGCTGGGCCCTCCACTGGACGCGCTCCCCACACAGCCTCCCACCCGGCTGTGTCGGTCAGTGTTGCCACTGATAGACAGCAAAGCTGATCATGAGCTTACTCGGCTCACGCCTTCAGAAGTTTCAGTGCGTGGTCAGCCGGGTCCAAGGCAGAGACAGCATGGGGGAAGGGCGTGATGCAGAAACTGCTTAGTTCATGGCAGTCAAAAAGCAGAGCAGATTGGAAAGAGTGCCCCATGTCCCCACTCTCTGGACAATCACGCTTAACTGCCACATTCCATTTCTTACCCACTCAGATGCCCCAACACCTCTCTTTACACCACACTTAATCTCCTAACACAGACAACAACAAGGTCAAACAAACACCTAACATGATGCAAACATCCTGCACACAACCAAAAATGCACCAATCTCTTCTCCAAAGCCTACACAGTCTCACCAATTTGTAAAACCAATCTGTAAAACTCAAATTGGTTTGAGTTTTACAATTTGTAAAACTCAAATTGGTTTGGTCTGAGCTGGGTGCAGTGGTGCATGCCTGTGATTCCAGTACCTGGCAGGCTGAGGCAGGAGGACAGCCATGAGCTCGAGGTAAGCCTGGGCTACAGAAGCAAGTTCAAGGCCTGAACTACACAGCCAGAGCCTGTCTCAAAACAAAGCAACAAAGTAACTCAAAGTTTCTTCTGAGACTCAAGGCAAACTCTTAGCTGTGAATGCCTACAGAAATCAAAGCACAAGTTATACTACACCAAGATCCAGTGGCACAGGGTCATCATTGCCATTTCCAAAGGAAGGAACAGTAGGAAAGAAAAGAATGGGGAGCAAAGCAAGGCGGACCCAGCAGGACGAACATTAAGTCCTGTAGCTCCGTGTCCAGCACCCAGGGCACATGGAGGCGAGTCACAAAGCGCCTGGGCAGCCCTGCCCCAGGGCTCTCGCTCTACAGCTGGCTCCATTTGCTCCCTGTAGCTTTCCCCGGCAGATGTCCCACATTCCTGACATCTCCAGGTTCCTGGGATCCCCACCTTTGGTTTTATGCCCACACTTTCTTTCTTTCTTTCTTTTTTTTTTTTTATTCCCACACTTTCACACACTGCTCTCTCGTGGGCAAACTGCCTGGCCACCCAGGACTGTCCTTTGAAATCTGGGTGGAAGCCTCCATAAGCCCATGACTCTTGCATCCTGTGTGTCTGAAAAACTGACATCCTGTTGCCAACATCTCCTGCCAGTGTGAGCAGCAGCTTAGACCATGACCTCAGCAGCCTGAGCACCTCGGTGACTCAGCACAGTGAAAATAATCCTAAGGAACGGATTCCCTGGGTAGCCTTCCTAAAGCAGGATTCCCGGGGACCATCTTCTCAAAAAGAAAGTTTACACTTTTTCACCCTTGAGCCTACAATGGGTAGATGCTTGCTGATTCCTCAAGGTGTGTTTTTCTGGTTGTTGTTGTTGTTGTTGTTTTTGGTACCAGGGTCAAACTCACAACCTTGCACTTGCCAGGCAGGCGCTTATGCACTGAGCTAAAATCCCTGGCCCCAAGGTATGTTTCTTAGTGTTCCACTTCAAATTACCTGGTGTCTTTTGAATTTCGCCAATCTCTTCAGCAGCCAGATCCTTTGCCACCAACTTTACATGTAGTTCTTCTGGAGCCAAAATTTGAGTTTTACAAATAGTCCCGTTCGGGGCTGGGGATTTAGCTTAGTGGCATAAGCGCCTGCCTTGCAAGCAGGCAGTCGTGAGTTCGATACCTGGTACCGATAAAAAGACAAAAAAAAAAAAAAAAAAAAAAAAAAGTCCCGTTCAGCTTTTTGTTCCTGATTCTCAATGTACGTCTGGCTAAAAGCAGCCACCAGTAACCATGGCATGGCCTCAACACTGGGCTGCCTTGAAGTGTTCTCTCAAGATCCATTAGTCTATTGGCTCTTAAACTCAGCCTCCCACAGTTTCAGCACATAGGCAAAATGCAGACTTTTTTTTTTTTGCTAGAGTAATATGCTGTGTTAGTCATTTCTCTCTCCACTGGGACAAAACCCCCAATACCCACAATCTGAAGGAGGAGTTGTTTATCTTGGCTCATGTTTTAGAAGTTTCAGTCCACGTTCAACAGGCTCAAATATAAAAACTGCATGGTAGAAGGGCCTAACTAGAGGAAAGCTGCTCATGTCACAGCAGCTGGGAAGAATACAGAGAAGACCCAGGAAGGGACATATACCCTTCCAGGTGATACTCTCAGTGTTGTGCCTTTTCCAGCCAGATCCCATCACCCAACAGCAACTTAGCTACAGTACCTCCATGGTCCAATCACCTTTCCAAAGCCCTGCCTAGGAGTGCAGGGGGCTTTGGAGAGAACATCTGGAGAGAACCATAGCACACACGTATCACCTGTAGTCAAATACTCAGTATAGTCCCTGTTCCCATCTGGAATCTTCTGAGCCTGGCATTTACTTTCCATGTTCCTATCAGCACTCTGGTCTTCTAAGCACCCACGAGAATCAGCCACTAAACTCTGCCTACTGCATTCCAGGGCTTCTCTAGCTCCTATCTCTAGCCTTTTCCAACTTCTCCACTAACCAATTCCAAAAGTCTCTGAACCTCATGGTGAGATACAGGCACACCAATGACCCCACTCTCTGGTAGGATTTTCTGCATTGGTCAGCACTCCTATTGCTGGAAAAAATACCTGACCCCTTCAACTTAACCACAGACAGGTTTATTTGGCTCATGGTTTCAGTCCAGTCAGCTGGCTCCAAAGAGAAACATTATGGCGGAAGAGTACAGGGAGCAAAGCTGCTGAGTTTATGGCAGCTGGGAAACAGAGGGCTGCAAAGGGAGCTCCATGATCCAATCACCCCCCCAGGAGTTCCTTCTGTCAGTCAAACTGACAATTTAGCTTAACCACCTAACCCATCTCTCACGCCTTCTGCTTCTTGACCCTCTGACCTTCCATGGTGTAACACCTGATTCCATCTTCTGACAGCTGTCCCCACCTGCTCCCTGCAGGGGCTGGCCCCCTGCTTCATCTGACACAGGACACCTGCTCCTGGCACGTGGAGCTGTATCATGCCGCTTTCTCAAGCCCACAGCAGAAGGACAGAAACCCAAGACCTTCCGTGGTGACAGTGACGTGTCAACTCTGCAGGCGATCTCCAGGCACCAATTTTGTCTCCCCTATGTGAGACCAAGTATGCAGGTTTCTCTCCTCAACTCTGCCCAACCGTCACGTGCAGAGGCCCAGTGCCCCTGTCCAGCAGTTAAGAGAGGACAGACGATGTCTGTGGGCCTGAAGAAATTGAAAGCAGAGTAGGCACTGGCACCCCAACTCAGAGACAGGCCCAAGGTCATGTTTCGAAAACAAATTAAACTGTGACGTGTAGACATCCATTAAAAAAGAAAAATAAATAAAAACTCCGTATTGAGATCAGAACAGAAGCCAACAACCAGCCCACTTCGGTCACGGGATAAAGGTCGCCAAGGAAGCCAAAGCCAGGCTGAGCCCTCTGAGTGTGTAATCCTGAGGGTGGGGAGGCTTTGAAGGAAAAACAGAGTTTGCCAAGGAAGAAGGGGAGGGCCCCCCAGCGAGTAGAGCAGACACGGCTGGCTGCGGAGAGGCGGGCGGACAGCAAGGGCCAGTCTACCTGTAAACTGCAAACATTCTCCTCTGGGCAGGCCACAGGAAGGAGAGAGGCTTGCCAAGGAGAGGCCACGGCCCTGCTGTGGTCAGTGTGAGCGCCAGGATGAGGCAGGCACCCTACCATCTGGCTCCTGGCCGCTCCGGGAAGCAGACGCTCTGTCCCACAGACGGGCCAAGCTGGAGAAGTGTGGGAGAGGGCAGGGAGAAGTGGTCAGTTACGAGGGTGGCAAAGGTCTGAATTCCTGACCACTGGGCAGCTCTCGGACAGGAGAGGGCCCCTTGTCCCTGTCCTCTGCTGGTCACTCATCTGCCAAGGTTGCCAAGCTTGGCGCTTCCCAGCTCCTCCCCTTCAGGTGGTTTCACATGCAAGTACCCTTCCAGAGTAAGGGACCCTTGTTCTGTCCCTAGTCTGTCACACTGGGAATGCCCACCCCATACTGGCCACAGCCTCTGCTCACCCTTTGGGCCCAGCTGCCCTGAGGGTTCCCTGCATGGGACCTGGCCCCAAAACCCTCACAGCTGGCACCATGGCATTTTTGTGCATGCCCCCATGAGGGCCAAGGCCTCACCTAGCCCACCCTGACAGCGCCTTGGAACCCACAGCATGCAATACGCAAAGTGGACAGCGGTCCAGCCCTGCTGACCCTGCCGAGTAAGTCCCCACCCACTCCGGGAAAATTCCAACTCCAGCAAGGAATAAGAGTGGCCATGGGAGGGGCCCAGCCCTCCAGCCATGCGTCCTGGCCTCAGTGCGCCTTGGCTACACTGTCCTGCTCACTGGGGACCGAACCCAGGGCCTTCACTCTGGCTACAGCCCCACCCCTTTTTAACTTTATTCTTTAAAATTTTGAGACAGGGTCTTGCTAAG